CTACACAACAACAGCAGACTGCACCAGATTGTGAGTCCGTCCCTCCAACAGTGCGTCTGTGTCTCTTTGTGTTCGGCTGAATCACTCACATGCTCGTCACACAAGTGGATGAATGGACTCTCCCTGCTGTCACATGACCTCCCCCCTCCTCCCTCCCCCCTCACGCTGACCTGCACCCGGTTCTGACCCAAACCCTGAAACCAGGTCTCGACTCTGGTTCTGTCAGAAAGCACAGTCCTCACAGAGCCTGATGTAAACGGAGGTCAGCTGACCTGCATCACCGTGGTGACAGAGCGTGCTCTGTCCGGCCTGCAGCAGCTGGACTGGGAGGAAGTTCTGGGTGTGTTCAGACCCAACAGTACAAGTATTTTATAGACCGTTGTCGTGTTTAAATCCTGAATATTCACATTTTTCAGCGCAGCGCCTGAAGCTTTGAGGAGGGACGATGTTCTGACCGGGTTCTGCTCATGTGACTGAACTGAGACGCAACGACACGCAGAAGAGGACACTTCCTCTTCCTGTTTCCAGCAGGACACACATCGCTGATGCACCGGAAACACACACACACACACACACACACACACACAGTCCTCACTCTGATAGAACCCTGGAGCAGTTTGTGGGTTCAGACCTGGTTCTGTCTGGTCCTCACAGAGACAGAAGAACTGAGCAGCTTCCTGCTCATAGTTAACCAGCTGCTAACCAGAGTTAACTAGTTGGTTATTAGAGTCTCACCTTTAACCAGCAGCAGGATCCAATCAGAGAGAATCTGACCAGCAGGGTGATCAGGTGAGGTCCACCTGAGACAGGTGAGCCGTCAGCCGGTCTCAGGTGGACCTCCGTCACAGCCGGAGGATGTCTGACTGTAGAAGTCTGACCCGTTTACTGAACCTGCTGTTCTGTCAGAGCCTCTGATTAAAGGAGTCCACACTGAGGAACCAGCACCTTGTGGTTCTGTTTGTGTCCCATCAGGTCAGATGATCAATAGAACTAAACAGAACTGGACACCTGAGAGAACCGAGCTGCAGCTGCACCAGTCTGAGAACAGCATCACCAGAACGTCAACAGAACGTCAACAGAACATCAACAGAACCTCACCAGAACCTCACCAGAATGTCAACAGAACATTGTCTGAACATCACCAGAACCTCTGACCATCAGTGGCTGTAGAACCGGAACCGCAGCTCCGACAGGTTTCTCCTCTGAACAGAATCCTGACATCAGCACTGATCAGCTGATCGATCATCACCTTCAAACAGCTGTTTCTGATTGTTGACCAGCGGGGTCAGAGGTCACCACGAGGGCGGTAGCGGCAGCGGGCAGGGCGGTACCGGTCCGGTTCGGTTCGGGCGGACTCACCAATGGTGGAGATGAAGGTGGTGTTGAAGGCGTCCTCGCTGAACCGGAACAGCAGGCAGGTCTTTCCGACGCCGCTGTCTCCGATCAGCAGCAGCTTGAACAGGTAGTCGTAGGTCTTCGCCATGGCGACGGTTTCCCGCCGTTTGTCCCGGTGCTGCCGCCGACTGACCGGACTGTCCGGGCCGCTCGGTGTCCGCCGCTGGGAGCTCTGGTTCCACTGGTTTCACTGGTTCCGTTCTGGTTCTACTGAAATCGGAGGACAGGAGGCGGAAACTGCCCTGGTCAAGTTACCGAGAATGAAGAGCGAAGACATCCGGGACGCGCACAGGGAAACGCTTCAAAATAAAAGCACCCGGAATCCGTTGTTGGCGTTGATCATGTTCAAGCCTTCAGCGGCTCTGATGAGCTCAGCAGTCACACTGGTTGGTATTAACTTTGCTCTTTAGCAGCTGAAAACATCCCTCCATCCGTCCTTCCATCAACTCTACAGCATCGGAACCTGGGGTAGAGGTGATACTGGGTCACCACAGGTTTTCCTTCTGTTCCTGTTCCCTAATCTGTTGATGTTTTATGATCAGATGAGTCGCTGCTTTAATCGCATATAAATAAACCGACAAAGTTTAGAAATTTCTGATTGTAAATGTATTTTTATCTTGTTTTCTGTCTGTGGCTGTAAATACACAGAAACAGAGGAACCGAACTGTTCATGAAACTCGGAGAAAACTGAACGTCACAGCAAAGTTTCTTTATAAATATTCATGAAGTTTTACAGACTGGGTTGACTCTCTGATGAACAATAAAAAACAATAAATCTTCTTGTACTTTACACATCTGCCGCTTTATTCTTGCTTTGAACTTACTTAAAGTTCTATCATCACATTACCTCCACGACTCCGTCCTCAGTGGATGTGGTTTCAGCTTTGAAACGGGGCTTTTGTTTTGAAAGTACGACGATGTGTTTCCGGTTTGTCCTCCAGCAGCTTTATTTAACCCGGAAACGCGTGACGTCATCAGCCAGGAGGGCGGGGGGGCTATTAGTGTTGGGGGGCAGTTTGATGGAATTTAAACTCGACAAAGGCAGAAAACTGATCAACACTCAGATGAATGAAGTATTTACAGCATCACTGATAACTCTGAGCTCCGGGGTGTGGTCACTCCATCCCATAAGCTTGTTTCCTGCATCAGCCTGGAAACAGCACAAATATCTTCTACATTCAAAAGGACTCTGTAATAATATAATTAAAACCATTTATATGTTCAACCGCAGTCTGTCGCTCTATTACATACATGAACATAAACATACATGAACACTGGTGTTCCTGTGTTCCTCGTCTTTGCTGCTGTAACTCTGCTACTTTTCCCTCTTTAGGGTTGATAATGACTATGTTTTATTTTGAAGGGGCAAAACCTGTGAAATAGAACCTGACAACCTCCCAGTAAGATCAATTCACATTCAACTTTATTTCTAAACCTGCTCCACAACATCCCATAGTATGTCTTCACACCGATGCTGGAAGCAGCAGGTCAGGTTTCCGGATCCGGTCTGGAGGAAAGCCTCTGTGACGTTTCATCTTCTGAACTCTGTCATGCTGGTGTTTGTTGGACCTGGACCCTGATGGAGGAACGTCGCAGCAGCTGCACAGATTCATTACTGAACTCGTTTCACAGACTCATAAACTAAACTTCATCTCTGCAGCTTTGAGACAAGCAGACCTAAAGAAAGCGTTCAGGTTCGTCTGTTAGCTTGTGTTCCTGTCTAATCAGCTGTGTGTGGATGTGTTGCAGCGTAACTTCCTGTGTCCAGGCTTTAACCCGGATCATATTTCTGCTGTTGGTTCATGTCGCTGTGCTGCTGGGAGCTTTACAGACTGAAGCTGTGAACTCGTTTCCAAAGATAAAGAACATCAATCCAAGCAATCAAAGCCAACAGTTAAGATCAGCAGACGTCACCAGAAGCACTGAAGCTGGAAACAGAGGGACAGGAGCCGTGTTGCTTTAGAACCTTGTATATTTCTGGATCTGGAGGTGAAGACAGCAGTAACAAGTAGAAATAATAAATAACAGATGCAGCACTACCGTTAAAAAAATACCAAATATGTAAGAGGAGCAGAGCGCTGATGGGATCTCATGTTCAGCGACTGCAGGTTCACCTCATTCCTGGTCAGGTGAGATTATTGTGCGTACGTTTGCTGTGAATGTTAGCGACACATGAAGCTGCAGCTGCAGAAGCCCCGCCCCCTCCACACAAGCCACACCCCTCTACAGCAATCATTTCTGAACATATGAAGCGACGTCTGAAAGCCTCCCACCGACCGTTTCCCTGCAGCCCCAGAGAGGTACGACCAGTCAGCGGGGGAGGAGGGTGAGCCAGGTGAGACAGGTGAGGCTCCCACAGCGACCTCCTTCCTTCAGCTTCAGTCCAGATCTTGAACACGACGGCAGATATCAGCTGTAAACTCTGAGCACTTTGAGTTTCCTCCCAGATCCTTGGTGAGAACCTGAAACACAACAACAGCAACGTTTCCATGTTGACTCCATCTGTTCTGAGGGTGTGGCCTTAACGGTCCAATCAGCAGGCGGCGCCGTTTCTCAGGTAGCCTCCAAACACGGAATGTGACGCGAATGTTGAGACTCATGGAGGGGATCAGCTGCAGCCTGACGTAGGTGTTGTGTGTGTGTGTGTGTGTGTGTGTGTGTGTGGCTGTAGTTGTGTGTGTGTGTGTGTGTGTGCGTGTGTGGAGTTGTGTGTCTGTAGCTGTGTGTGTGTCTGTAGTTGTGTGTGTCTGTAGTTGTGTGTCTGTAGCTGTGTGTGTCTGTAGCTGTATGTGTGTCTGTCTGTAGTTGTGTGTGTCTGTAGCTGTGTCTGTAGTTGTGTGTCTGTAGCTGTGTGTGTAGTTGTGTGTCTGTAGTTGTGTGTGTGTGTAGTTGTGTGTCTGTAGCTGTGTGTCTGTCTGTAGTTGTGTGTGTCTGTAGTGGTGTGTGTCACCAGAGAAACATGCCGACTGTTTCCATAAACCAATCACAGCTGTTGTGGGCGGAGCTAAGCAGACGAGACCTGATGATGGAAACGAGCAGCCTGAATCGATTTCTTGTGAAAGGATGAGCTGACGGCAGGTTGGCAGCTGTCTGCTGCGCTCAGGAGGCCGGTCTGAGCAGCCATTGGCCGATCACTTCAGGTGTCTGGTTTCCTTCAGGAAACTACCTCCAAACAGAAACATACCAGCTGAAGGTTCTGCAGAGAACCGAGTCGCTGTTCACCAGTGAGTCATCCATGTTCGCACTGAATGCTTCATCAGGGCTCTATCGCCTAGCTCCGCCCACGACGGCTGATTAGTTTACAGAAACAAATCAAAGCAGACGGATGTTCTGACTGGAGCCACTCTGAGCAGTCAGAGGCTCCACCTGGTGGAGCAGCCAGGCACTGCAGCTGATCTTCACGGTCCGTTCTGGGCTCAGTCTGTCACTGATGGATCAGTAACACGCCTGCACGACTACGAGCAGCTCAAACCTTCAGGACTCTGACAGCAGCTATCAGCTGGTTCTGATCTTTATCAGCCGCCACACTCACAGCTACAGCTGCTGAACCCACAGAACCGTCTGGTTCTCCCTATGAACACAGCACAACAAGTCCTGTGGTTCAGAACCAGTCAGGAATCCAGAGCTCAACGGGGATGTCGTCTGAATGTGCTGGATCTGGCTGCTTGTTTCTGTGACTCCTGAACAAGAACTGGACTGGTTCTGTCCAGTCAGGCAGCTACAAACAGCTTCAATGGTCAGAGAGGAACCATGTGGAACCACCTGAGTTCTGACAGTGAAGCATCACACCATCAGATGTGTCCCAGAGCAAACTGGGTCTATTGAGTTCTGCAGGTTCTCACCTTCTTGTCCCTGATGGTGTCGAAGCAGGCCGTCTGGATCTTGTTGCCGTAGTCATGGAGACCCATGTGACGCAACATCATGACGGCGCTGAGCAGCAGGGCGGTCGGGTTGGCCAGGTCCATGCCGGCGATGTCCGGGGCGGTACCATGGACCTGCAAACACACTCAGGTTCTGGTAACTGAGATACAAACTCCTCCTTTACTGCTCAAACCAGAGCTTCAGCTGAACCCTGGTATCGACCTGGAGACAGGCACGGATTCAGTACTGGTCCCAGCCTGTCCCGGGTCACTCATTAAAATATAATAATATTTATTAAATCTCTTCTATATATATATATATATATATAGAGAGAGAGAACAGCTGTGTTCTAAGCATATATACACACATCTATATATATATTGAGCAGAGACAAACCGATTCGAAGATGGCGACTCCGTTGGCGCCGATGTTGCCGCTGGGCGTCACTCCGAGTCCTCCAATCAGACCAGCACACAGATCACTGAAACACAGTCACATGACCTCAGCGCTCACAGCTCAGCCTGTGATTGGCCGGTAAATATAAATGACCCTCACTGACCTCAGGATGTCTCCGTACAGGTTGGGCATGACGAGGACGTCGAACTGGGTCGGATCCTGAACCATCTGAGAACCAGAGAAACCCAAAAGGTGAAACCAGAGTCATAGACTGACAGGATCTACTGGTGGAAGGTAACCCTAACCGGGCCGGCTGTGGTTCTGGTGGTCGAGCGAGTCGGTCAGTGATTGGGTGGTTGGCGGTTCGATTCCCCCCTGTGACCTGTGTCATGGTGGTCGTGTCCCTGCCTGGTGTGGATGCGTATGAATGGACTGTTGAGGTGGTGGTCGGAGGGCAGAATGGCAGCCAGGCCTGTCAGGCTGCCCCAGGGCAGCTGTGGTTACATCTGTAGCTACCACCACCGGGGTGAATGTGTGCCAATGAATGACTGACAGTGTGAAGCGTCTGTATAAATCTGATCCATTATTATTATAACCCTGGTTCCATTCTGGGCAGCTGCTCCACTTCAGGCAGACGGCGGAGCAGAACTCGTTCTAAAACTCTGACGACTTGAGCTGAAAGCTTCAGCTTTAATGTGATCTGCAGTGAGCTGTGTTTGGTCCAGCTGAGACCTACAGCTCAGTCTGAACATGTGTCAGGAATCCAGCTGGTGAACTCTGAACTCACATTGAGGCACACAGTGTCCAGGTACATCTCAGTGAACTTGATGTCTTTGTAGTTCTCGGCCACCTCACGACATTTTCTCAGAAACAGACCGTCTGACATTCGCCTGCAGACACAGAAGGAGATTCAAAACTCACTGACAACACCTGGAACACACACCTGGAACACACACCTGGAAATCACACACCTGGAGACCACACACCTGGAACACACACCTGGAACTCACACACCTGGAGACCACACACCTGAGGGCTGTAGTACGAAGTGAGATCAGTGCAGGAACGTTGAGCCTGAAGTCAGTTTTTAATTACATAAAGGTGGCTCTATTTAACCTGCTAGGTCTCCACGGTAACTGATGCTGTGGAGCTAGGTCTCCACGGTAACTGATGCTGTGGAGCTAGGTCTCCAGCAGCTTCCTGTCCTGCATGATCTCCAGCAGCAGCTCTTTAAAGTCACAGTTCTTGATGTTCCTCGTTGTTCTCATTAGAACAAGCTGCTGGCTGGAGCAGGAGGAACCTGATTGGTCCGTTTGCTGCAGAAGAGTCACATGACCCTTTAAACTCCTCCTTTAATGAGAACAGAGTCTGAAGCAGGAAGTGTGATTAACAGAGAACGCTGATCAGGACCTTCTGACCCCTGATGTCTCTGGCTGGGCTTTCAGGCTTTGCTAAGCAGACTCACACAAACAAAGTCTGGATTTGTTGAACCTGCTTCGTAGTTCAGCCCTCAGGACACAAACAGCGGTAGCTATGCTAATACCAACCACTGCACATGGAGTATAGAGAACAGGAGGAGGACAAGAAGAAGAGGAAACATGGAGAAGTCTGATAGAACTCAGATCCTCAATCAGCAGCTCAGGTTCCTCACATGATGTTGGCTTTGTGGACGGCCGTCACGCTGTTTCTTTGGTTGTTTCTGGCGTATTCGAAGGCGTATTCTGCGATCCGTCTGCTGGCGTTCTCAGTGATCAGTTTGATGCTCTGAACAACACCGTCCACGATCTACGACAACAAGACGAGAAGATCAGAAACGAGAAGCCAAGAGCTGAAACCACAGCGGAGGAGCTTCAAACTCTGACAAACTTTATTCATTTTAACCCTCTGAACCCCAAGTTTGTCTTATTCTGCTTCACTGTGGGTCATTATTTGTCCTGCAGCTCTGTGGAAACTACAACCTTCTTCTCTCTGCTCATCAGCTGTAGGAAGATGTTCCACCATCAGATGTAGGAAGATGTTCCACCATCAGCTGTAGGAAGATGTTCCACCATCAGCTGAATGTATCTCCACCAGCTGGCTCCTCTGGTCTCTGGTTCTGATCTGTACTCCATCTACTCATTGATCCAGTAGGGTGGATTCAGGCTCTCTGAGGAAACTCTGGCTGCAGTTCACCTGAAACTCTCTGAATGTTTCCTGTTGGTCAGAGCTGGTTCTGGTTCTACAGGATCAACTAAAAACTGTTTATTTCAGGACATGTTTTAAATGAGACGTGTAGAATAATTCCTATTAATTTATTTCTATTCAATAACGATCCTCTTCAGGGACACGAAGCTGAAGCTCTGATGAGTCTTCTGCACTTCGGGAGCTTCAGGCGGATACATGGTGTCGTTTCAGTGATCTTTAAGGCTAACGTTTAAACCCACGGGGCGTTTTGGGGTTCAGAGGGTTCAGATCAGCTTTAAAGGTCACATATTGTGTCAGTGAGACTCTGAGCTGCAGCAGATACAGTTTATGAATGAAACAGAAGCTGCTGTGAGGACTGAACACACACGGAGGAGGATGGAGCTTCACTGTGGTCCATGTGACACAAACACTGAATCTACTGCCAGCTGCAGATCTGCACTGATGCTGGACATCAGAGTTGTGAAGAACCTCCTGATCTTCCACCTGGACTCAGATCTGAGCTCACAGTGTGAACAGACTGGTCCACATCAGGACTGTGCAGGTGAACAGGTGAGCTTCAGGAAGCTGCAGTGGTTCTGTCGTATTCACAAAACATCCAGCAGCTGCTGTCTGAGCTTTAGGAAGCAGCTGACCATGGATTAGACCTCCATGAGTCTGAGAGCATCTGAAGGATCGTTCTGCTTCATCTCATCCTGCTGCGTCTCCTCGGTGTCTGTGGGAGAAGAACCGGCTCCTGTTGGACAGCTTCAGCCTCAAGTTCTCCAAAGAAGCCTGAATTATTCATGAAGAAATTTCAGCTTTCAGTGCGACTGAACAGAAGCTCAGGACTCAACCATCTCCATCAGAACCTGCAGTCTGACCCGATCACCACTCGTCCACAGCTCAGTGTCCATGTGTGACTGTGACACTCAGCAGCTACGTGTTGGATCATCTCACGAACCATCAGCAGGTCCCAGCTCGTCTCAGTTGGAAAAGAATGACAGAAAATGACTGAACGTGTCCAAAACAAGTCAAACACTGTGTAGAAAAGTCTAAAGACCTGTCAAAGAATAGCTAAAACGAGTCCAAACTGTACAGAACCACTCCAAAATGGTCCAGTTTCAAGTCATTTTAGACAAGTTTTGGTTCATTTTTGGACAGTTTTCTTCTTACTTTGGACACGTTCACTCAGTTCTTCTCCTGCAGACGAGAACTGGAGCTTTCTGCCCCATAACCAGTGGTTCAAGTCAGTCTGGACAGAAATGAGACCAACAGCTCACTCTTTATGTCTGAGCTCAGCTTCGTCCTGGCTTCTCTGAATCTCCAGAGTTTAAAGGTACCTGACTCAGAGACAGCAGACACCACAGCAGGATGAGAAGAAGCAGAACAAACCTCTGAAGCTCCTCAGAGACCTGCAGGAAGCCGAGTCAGTGTTCAGGAAGGAAACAAGCAACCTGATCAATAATGGGCCTGATCAGCTGGAAACAGAGATAAACTGCTCAAATAGAGATTAAACCTGAACCTACAGTCTGGGTCAAAGCCCTCAACACTCCACCAAGGATTCTGCTCTGAACAAACGGTGTAAACGTGCAGCAGAAGGTGAAGAACTCTGAACCGAAGCAGGACTCTGAGCTGCTGTGGATAAACTTCAGACTAATGTGCTCTGTGAATACGACTCCGGCGCTGCTTCCTCCTTCTTACCAGGAGACGAACAGGATCAGAGCGTCCTGCGGCTGCTAGCTGACCTGCAGGAAACAGGTGAGGAGGCAGGTACACCGTCAGCACAGGTAACAGCACCTGCACACCTGTTTTATCAGCCTGACAGGTAACCCTAACCCTAACCCTACTCATCTGCAGCTTCAGCAAGTCACATTAAAGCACACAGAGAAGTTGAAGCCTAACCCACCTGATATCAGAGCTGACACCGTCAATCAGTCGATCAATGAGCTGATCAATCAAACATCTGGAGGTTCAGCTCCTCTCAGTAGCACTTCACTGCCGTTCTCTCGTTAAACAGTAAAC